TCCGTGCCGGGAGCTGTCCTGCCCATTCCGACCCCGTCCCTGACCTTAGAGCAGAAGGCAGCCTTTATCTTTGTCTTCTTTCTCTTCATCTTCCTGGGTCTTTTGATTGTCCGCTGCTTCCGGATCCTGCTGGACCCATACCGGAGCATGCCCTCCTCCATCTGGACAGACTACATGGAGAAAGACACTTCCGATTACTGGCTCCCCTGAGCACGAGCCTGGGGCTGCAGGGGGGCTCTTTTAACAAATGGAGAGGATGGATTCCCATGACCCAGGAGGCCCGACCTGCATAGCTTGCCAGGACTCTCGCTTTCAAGGCAACATGCTACCTGCACATAGGAACATACCCTGGTGGCGGTTGCCCTGAGGTCAAAGCAAGCCCTTAGGCATGTGCTACTGGCTGGAAGGATGTGACCACAGGCTGACTGCTCATGCAACCCCCAGTCAAATCCCACTAGGGAAAAAGGGAAGCTTTGTCCTTCTGCGAGGACAACAGATGGCGTCTGAACTCCGGGCACGATGCTCTCCTTGGCTTCTCCTTCCCATTGCCGGCTGTGATGGCACTTGTTTTCGCAGCTCTGAGGTGGACTGAGGGATGCAGTCTGTACACCTGTAGAGTCTCGCTGGCCCATGCAAGGTTAGGGAGGGACCTGAGAATGGCCAACACTCCTGCATCTAGAAAGGGAGAAAATCCGGATGGGGGAGTTGGCCAGTTAGCAAGAAGTCACATAGTCATCCCACATGAGGAGTCAGCTGGTGGTGTTGAACCTAATCCAATTAAGGCACATTCTATCCTACAACCTCTGTCTTTGTGCAAGAATCACAGGGATGGGGACGATGAAATGGGATAAGAATCAACAAGTCAAACCAGGCAGGAGTTTCCAGATTTGATTACCCTGGTACCTACTGAGGTCACCAAGGTCTAGAGATCTAGGGACTTACATCTCCTCACAAGTCTCTGAGCAACTCTGATAATAGCTCCCTTCACTAATGAGCAACACTTGTCTTCACATTGTAACTTGACAATTAACTCCCAGGTGGTCCACAAAGTACTATCAAAGGCGATAACTTCTGTTCTGTCCACAGATTGGACGTATGCTGCACAGATAGGAGTAGCTGTGGCTTGGTTTTCCTCCCCAGCCATGTGTTAAACTCTTGGGTGATCACCTTTGCTCTTCCAACTATTCACGGTGAAATGTCGGGGCAAGTTTTTTATGTTTATTGACTACCGTTACAAATCTGACATGGCTGTTCTTTGTTTTGATGGTTTCTTTTCTTTTTTTTTAAATCTGAAACCAAAAGTCAAATCTAGATGCTTAAAACCCCCCTGAAAGGAGTGGTTTATCAATAAAGTCCTGGTTGTTCTAAAGCTGCCCCAAGTTCTTGGTTTCTAAACACCACATTTCAGCTCCCTTCTGCCAAGGCTTTCCAAAGGGCTTTACCACGGTGTTGTGTTATTTCACAGATGGGGAAGCACAGACACAGATTGAAAGTGATGTGCCCAAGGTCATGCGCTGAGAGAGCACCCTGGTCTTTGAACCTAGATTTCCTACATCCCAATTCTGGGTTTACACATTATATACCTTGGAGGGTAAAAGAAGGAAAGATGTTTTTCATAACTTGTGTCCCCAGTTATACAGGAGCAGCTAACATCCATGTGTGAGTACAGGGTCCAATTGCAGGGCTGGGGCCTTCTGCTGGCTAGCTGAATCATTGGTTGGTAGCAATACATTTTTGCTTGCATTGCATTTCCAGAAACCACTCAGCTCTGAGGAGTAGTGTCTGAATATTTGTGTGTGATTTCTTCCCCTTGAGTCAATCATTTTCCCCAACTGCTTTTTAGCACATTGGTGGGCAACATTTGAAATCCTTTTACAGTGTGAATCTCAGTAGGCCCTGGAAAACAAACATCTCTTTAGCTACAGAAAATAGCACAGTCCAACCTGGATTTCTTTGTGGTGCTAAACGTTCATGATTGTTGAGGTTTTTCTTAAAAGTCCCAGCTTCTGGAGTCAGGTGATTATGTGGGAATCAGCTTTAATTTTTTACATATATATTTTAAAAGGGAAGTTTCTAGCTCTCCTTATTCAAGAGAAATGCTAAAAAAAATGAGCCATAACTACTCAAAAACCACAAGGCAAATAAAAAGCCCCCACCCTGTGTATTTTAAAATCTCGTTATTTTAAAGCCAGACAGATTACTTGGGAGGGCCTGACTCCTGGTTCTTGAAAGCTTGGGTTGGAAATGCTGCTGCACCGTTTAGATACAAACCCACGCCTTAGAGGCGAAAGGTTCCCCATCAAATTACCAGTCGCCTGAGCTAGCCAAGATCAATCTTCTTGGAAAAGCATAGTCGACTGCATTAAATGCTGGCACCATGTCTCTGTCCAGTGGAACCTGGTCTTCTTTTGAACAGTGGATAATTGTTTCTCTTGTCCCCCAGGACAAAGGGTGGCTCCAGCAGAGCCTGATTCATAGATGTTTAGTCCATGATTGGGGCTTGTAAGGGGTGAGGGATTTGGGGCAGCGTGGACACCCCACAAGAATTTTGGGGCAAATAGGTACAGGAGCGCTACTTACCCCTCCTTTCCAAGATACATGCCAAGGAGCATATGAGTGGATCTGGTTGCAGCAGTACTCCCTGCCCCTTAAACCGAACTGCCAGTGCACCGTTGGGGTGGTCTTGGGCGGGTGGGCAAGTTGACTTCTTAACCCTTTCCCCTCCTGCAGCTGCCCTGACTCCAATGGTGAGGTGGGAAAGGACTTACATCTTCAGTTCTGCCACCCACCCCGCTGCTCCCACTGCAGGGGAGCAGCCCTGAGGTTCTAGCTGATCTGCCCCTTAACCTTGGTTCCCCTCCACTGCTGGATCCTACAGCCTGGTCTCCTGGATTCTGGTTGAATGGATGTTTGGACTGCAGAGGAAAGACTGGTTAAGACCAAACTATTAGGAACCATTTCACATGCATTTGGGGTAGGACCTCTTACCATTTGGGACTTCTGGGGTGAGGTTCAATGCCAAGATAAAGAGTCATGCAGGCTGCCGCAGCACCACGCTGGGACAAAGGCAGGTGCTTTACAGTAGCGCTTCTTCTCTTGAGTTTCTCTATCACCTATTGACAAAAGGTATGAAACAATGGTGAGGCTCTGACCTACCTATCCTCCCTTTCCAGCATGAATCAGCTGGGCAGCAGAGGTCTACAGACATACCGTAGCAGGAAGCCAAAAGCCTTTTTGCTTGACGCTGCCTATGCTGGAGGCCAATCCTGGCTATTTTAGTGTTCTGAGCGAGCACTGGTTTCCCTGAAATCTAACCTGTTAACGTACTGATGGAGGGACAGGAAATGCCTAGATCAGCCACCCTGCGCTTTTCATCTTCTGGCAGCAAGCTGCTACTCTTCAGTGGTTTCTCAGGAAAAATAATTATTTTCAGTTGAACATCTAAGCTATTATAAATCAATGTGGCAGCAGAAGCGAAATGGGTCATAACTACCCATAAAATGCGAGTTGTTAGTCAATACTTCACTGCAAAAGAGGCAATACACCTGGAATTTTAAAGATTATTCCTTGTTCTCTCATTGAGCAGACAGCCTCTCTGAAACCAGACAAATCCAATACTAGGGGCATTCTAACTACAGGTGGCTCCCCAGGGTTTAATCTCGTCTGAGCAAAACAAATCATCTCCATCAGATCAAAACCATCATTTAAAACATCAGGGACAGGATTTATTTTCTGCAACCTGGATCCATTTGTTAGGAATCAACAGACATTTAGAAGTGTATGAAAAATGAGAGGCACAGAAATCTATTTCTTAACAAAACACACTAGCTGCCACATAGTCTTTCTGTGAAGTCTTTCCTTGCAAGGAGGCTGTGTGGCTGCTGCAGTTATTAGTTGCAGAAAAGCCCAGGGCTCAAGCCTACTCTATTGCTACACAGGTGTAAATCTGGAGTATCTCCTCTAAAGTCAGTGGCTTGACACCTATGTAACAGAACAGAATTCAGCCCTCAGTCTAATACTGAGGTCAAATCACCCATAATCATGCAGAAATCCACATGTAATAAACATATTAATATACTTTGATTTGCAGCCTAAAAGTGCTACAGAAACTGTCTCGAGAGACATGCTCAAATAAATTGGTTAGTCTCTAAGGTGCCACAAGTACTCCTTTTCTTCTCTCCACATGGTACACTGCTACAGTTCAGCTCTGCAGAGACTCTTGGTATAAACAAGAGGGCGTTCTCCGCGAAGCAGCCTTGATTTTGTAATTCATTCCCCTCTCCTGCTTTGGTCTCCCAGAACCCAGATTTGTTGACCTGCTGCAAAAGCCACATTTCCCCGTTCTTTGTCAAGACTGTAGAGGAGAGCGTGGGCTAAGGATTTTAAACATTTGAAGAAATAAATACATTAGATTATTAAGCCTCATGGTACAGCTGTGAGAGATACCAGTTCTATACAAAGCTAAAAACCTCGTCGAAACTTACTGATCAAATCCATGGGGGAGAAGGGAATAGGGATCAAAACTTGACTCCTACCCTCAAAGGACTGTAGCAGCCTGAGTATTTTGTGGTAGGGTAGATGGAATAAATCTCTTCTCCCAGTGCTGAGTGGAGTGTGAAAGTACAACCCTTTTGTGCATCAGATATGGGCACTAGTTCTGACCCCTTTGACTACTGGGGAGGTAATCTGGCAGCATGGCAGAGATACTGCAGAGATTTTTGATCACTTTGTTCCTCTTCAAGAGTCCAAGAGGAATGTGGAGATCTGGGATCGCTTTACCCATTACTAAAATACAGCCACCTCTGGGGTGGAACAGAAAAGCGTTTAACAGCTCACAGCAACACTAAACAGTTTGCTACTGAAAGTTCAGAAATACACTCATAGGGGAAAAAAGTCCTATGGGAGTTTTAATCACAGTACCAAAATGCTGAATAAAATCTCAAATGCAGATACAAATGTTATAGTAACCCATACTGAATGTAAGAAAAAAGGCAAGCATATACATGACTGGCATTTTATTAGGAAACATGGTACAAAAATGTATATATACACACACACGTTTAAATTTAACATTTGAAAACATTCTAAATATAAAAAGAATACTTAAGCTTTCTAAAGGCATCCTGTACATAAAGCTATTAAGAATTTTACAATTCTGGGCACTTAAATGCTTAATCACAGTGCTAATTGGATTTGTAATGGAGTTTTTGCAATGAAGTGGCAAATAGCATTCTGCCATACTGATAATAAATATACACACAACCCCTAGGATGTTAAAAATTCTGATCTGATACAGGTAAGGTTGCAGAATCTGAGCATTTCTCTCTAGAGAACTGCAAGCCTCAAGATAAGCCAGGGAACACTGGTCAGGCTGTGCAGGTGGCAGAGTAAAAGAAAACTCCAAGAGGTCTTTGTTAAGTGACTGAGGGTACGTCTATACTGCAGTAAAAACCCCACAGCACCAAGTCTCAGAGCCCAGGTCACCTGACTCAGGCTAACAGGATTTGCTGCAAGGCTAAAAACTGCAACAGATGTTTAGGTTCAGGCTGGAGCTATGCCATATACTCAGCAATTTTTAGCCGTGCAGCCCGAGCCCAAGAGAGCTGATCTGGGCCAGCCACAGCCATGCAGCAGGTCTTTTATTGCAGTGTAGACGTAACCTAAGGCCTTGTCTACATGGGGAAGTTTCCCAGCATAACTGCAGTGGAATAACTGGTCTGGTGTAACTCCCTGTGAGGACGCTATTCTACAATAAAAATGTGTCCACACAGGGAAGTTATACCAGAACGGCTTTAGTTACTCCCCGATAGGAAATTTCCCATCTGAGTACACAAGAGCTTTTTGGGTGGGCATTTATTATTTAAAATCTAAAGGAATCTAAGAGCTTGGTTAAAGTTTACACAACCTGCTTAATGTTCTTTTCCTCTCCGTTGGAGAAGTTTTGCAAAGTTTAAGTCACTGTTTAGAATAATGGAACCACTGATGTAGAAACAGACACGGGGCACAACTCAACTTCTATCCCAATTACAACCAGATCATGTTCATCTCATATGAGGAATGTTAAATGGACGTGAATTAAACTAGATTGCAGGTGAAAACCTAATCCCTACTGTCAGAACTCAGGCAAATCTCATGGATTTCGAAGAGTTTTACCTGAGCAAGGACTGTGTGTGCAGACCCATTGAATTGCTAAATGTTGGGTTTCCATTCTGGGATTCTTTTACTTTAGGGTAACGTTTAATCACCTAAAAATATCTTAATATAAAAAAGGAGAAACCAATTAAGTTAAAAATAGCAGTTTTGAATCATGTTCATTTGAAACCAGTCAAATTTCTCCTGCCTCTCCCACTCAGAAATGCAAATCCAAAAATAAGACAGAACCTGTACATTGGTCTCTTCAGTTGGAAATTCAGGCAGGTTGTGTGGGAGGATTATGTTCTTTTTTTAATTAAGTGCTATGTACAGATAGCTCCCTTTCTGCACACAGGCTAAGATGAAGGGCTTATTTTAGGCTTTTAAACTTTTTGTAATCCTTTATCGCTCTATTAAAAATCTGTGAGGTTTGGAGGAGATGAGCTAATGCAGGCCTTGATCCTGCAAACACCCAGGCATAATTTCAGTGGGACTATTCACCTGCATAACATCACTCATATGCACAAGGGCTGGCAGGATCTGGGCATAAGACAAATCTCTACATTTTCCCCCGTCCCTTATTTAAGAACAACCCATAAAATATCTATGTAGCCTCACCTAGGCTTGCGTTAACCAGAATATAGCACTGCCTCTCTGTTCAAAAGCCAGCGTTCATCATATAATTGCCATGGATAAGGGCATACAAAAGCTGGAAATTGTGTTTTTGAATGCTGGGCATCTATCATGTGCTGCAGTCTTAATTCAGACATGGTGTGTGAAAACTTCTAAAATATAAACACAAAATGGTGAATTTTTTACACCATACAACATTAAAAGAATACTGTGATTTTTTTCTTTAAAAAAAATTGACTCATTTTTAAATCCCAGCCCCCTCAAACAGTATATTCAGAAATTTTTTTTTAAATAAAAAAAGAGCGAGAGTGCGTTCATGTGTGAGAGAGAGAGGAGGCGTTCTGTTTCCCAGTAGAAGGGTCTTTTAAGCAAAATTGAAACACAGGGGAAACAGTTAAAATGACTATACACAAAGTGCTGTCAAATGCAGACTTTTTTTTTGCCAGCTTTTCAGGTACTGTAATCTTAGGTCTTACAAGTAACTACAGTAGGCACAATTTTCAGGCAAATATAATTTTAAACTTGACAGTGTCCCTTTAAATCTGTAAACATTTTGTTGAACCAAATTCTCTCTGGATTACCACTGTGATTCAATTTCACAGTGTACAATAAAAAATTTCAGCTCAGACAATTGTAACATGTACAGAAAACAAACCAAAGGAAATTAATGTATTTTTCAATTCAGAGGAAACACTGGTTCTGTTTTATAGTATTGACATATATAGTGACAATGTAAAATAATTAGGAGTCCTGTTTCTTTAAACTTTCATTAATTTAAAAAATCCATTATTAAAGCCTTCCTCAAAACATCTTTTGGAAAAAGATATAAAGTCTTTTATAAATAGTTACACTGCTTATAAATAAATGCACTTTGATACATAAAACCAGTAAGTCCCATGGTAGTTTTTACAATACAAAGAAAGTAGTTTCTTAAGTCTTTCCTAAAGCGGTTAGTGAAAACAACCGCTAAAATACTGTTAAAACTTAGCCAACTGTTTTAAACAAGAAAAACCACACCACATACACAATTTCTGCTTGGACTGGACTGCCAGGGCATATCTTTAAATTGCACAATATTTCAGAGAAAAAAACCCAGGAAATGTTTCTGAAATTTATGGACTGTAAAGTTTTAATTGCACTACAATAAGTGAGGAAAACACAGCCAAATTCATCTTGGTAACTCCATTGATTTTAGGGGGCTTATAGCAGGGGTGACTCTGGGCCACTATGTTAAAAGAAAGAGGAATATTGGACACACTTCCTACTTTGGGTATATGCATAAATGGTGCAACCACCCTCCTTATAGGTTATGGCCTTAGAATGGATATAGAAAATGTGAGTCAAGATGGCACTGAACTCAGTGTGCTGTGTTACAATATTGACACTGCTGCTATAATGTCTTTCTGCAGGATGGCAGATTACTCTCTTACCTGTATGTTATGCAAATAGCAAGTGTCCATAAGACTACAGGTTATTAAACTCTTTCCAACAAACTATTCATAACTTTGGCTCACATTTCCCCCCCTTCCCCCTCTCCATCTTATAAACCAGTTTCTTTCCTATCCCCAATCAAGCTGTGAGAGGACTGACAGCATGTTTTGCTGAATCTTGCTTTTTGATTCTTGTTACATCCACCACATCTCCAAGGAGACACTTCAGAATTTGGTGAAATGCAACTTTCCAAAAAGGACCTTGTTTCATTTAAATTCTTTTTAATGGTTATTTTAACTGGGTTTATATCGCTGACCAGCCTTTGCTTGGCTTGTCCTTTGTTAGATTAAAAGTTAGGGGTAGGTATTGCATTCTGTGCGTTTGTACAGCACCTATTGCAACACGTCCTCAATCCCAGTTGAGGAATCTGGGCACTACCAAGATTCATAGAATGATATTTTAGCCGTGACTGGCTTTATCAAAGAAATTTGGCTCTTTTTGTTTCTCATTCTGAAGTTGCTGTCCAAAGCCGTACGCTTGTTTCTAAAAGTCTGGGCCTCTTCACTGTTACCTTCTATCCACAAGAACTAAATAGAGGAAAAATTTAAATAGAAGAGTTTGACTCTCCTATCTTCTACCAACAAGGAGTCAAAGTCCCTCTAATGGCTTCCACTGAAACTGCACAGAGGCAAAGATTTGATCAGAGTGACTATGTAAGATCCCTTAGTTACTGATTTATAACTCCAGCAACCAACAATCACTTTGGGGGAAGATGGGGAGCTCGACAAAATAAACCATTCCTAAGAAGTCCATCCAGACAAGAAGAAAAACTCCCAACAGTGAAATCAACAAGGAAATTATTCCAAAGCCTAACTGGTAGATACCCCAGTTTTGTGCCATTTAACACGAGACTGAGCAAAACCTCAGAAAATACAGTAGCCCTGTATTGACAGGGATATGGACTGGTAACCAAACAGGGTTGGAAGAGACCTAGCTTCTACAATTCTTTCTTTCAAATGAAAACTAAACAATGCTTATCTCCTAATCAGGAAACATCTCTGTTCAGAAGTAGTCATTCTTTTTCTAATAAGACTACCAAATTAAAACTATTTGATTTATATTAATCCATCATTACAATGGATAGTTCTTCCTTCATTTCTAAAGGCACAATGTACTATCTGCACTATCTAAAAGAAGCTTTGCACTGTAAGCGTATGTACAGAATAAATACAACTTACACATTTACTCTGCAGTGTGGACGTATACACCAAATTCTGCTCTATTTCAACCATTCAATCCAAGCGGAGACAATGAGGGTGCATGGGTGTAATGGTAGAATTTGGTATAATATATATAGATGGAGAACTTTTAGGCCAAAATGCATGGTCAAAAATAATTTATGTGAAAGATTGAAGCACCTCACATTTCCCGAGTGAGCAGAGGCAATTCATTTTGAACAGGAAATGGATCAAATATTTGGATGCTACTGCTTTAGAATAGCTAGTTATAGGATTCAAGCTGCAAAGACAGGCTGAAGTTACATTTTTTTAAATATATGCCAATCTCATGCTCATTAATGCGAGAGACTAACAGTACCACACAGAGCAAAACCTGATTCAAATAGGCCTCCACAGCTCGTCCCAAGACATGACCTGCAATGTCACTGCGATCAAGTCGAAAGCACTCTTGAGCAATCACTATCCTATGAACTTGAGCCATACTTTTCCGATGTGAACCAGTCTCTGCTACACAGAGGCCAATTCATTTTCACTTATGACCATGCCCAGGATTACAGTTCAGGACTCCAGAAGTTAGTATCTTTGTAGACTAAAAAAAGTCTGCACCATTCATCTCAAATGTCCTAACTTGGGCATGTCTGCTACAAAAAAAATGTAATGAAAGAGGTATCTGTATCAACACAAAGCCACATTATCTGGACACACACTGCTGGAAATAAGGGAAAAAACAATACAAGACAGACCTTTGCAACCATGAAATTGAATTACCACCATGAATACTGCCAATCCTCACAAACAGCAGAACTTAAGCAGGAGAGACTGCATTATGCAAACTGAAGCCATGAATTTAACAATACTTGCCATGGAAAGGGAAGACCAATTTTTCAAAACTTGTCAAGAAAGCAGTATCAGTTTCTGTGGCATGTCAGTTTTTCAAGATAGAAGTGATTTAATACTTTCTAAACTCTGCAGCAAACTGGTCAGGCTACATTCTTGTGAAGTTTTCCCTCAATTTAAATTGCTTTACTCATGATCATTTATTAAGACTACCATACCGTAAACAATAGTTCCCATAGTTAATCATAGCACTTCCAATAATTTTGCTTCAGTCCTGAACCAGAAAAGACAGACCGTTCTGCATTTGATACACGTCTCACTTTAAAATACAATCTCCAAGCCTGCAACTGGCAACAGATATAGGTAACTTCTTTACTCTATGGGTCTGCAAGCAAATAGTAAAGAAAAAACACCCATAAACATTTAATAGTAAGATCAGTCACTTGTTTAAAAAAACCAAACAAACATTTTAGTATATTTAAAATGGACAATTTTGATTAGTAAAGATGTGAGATGCCTACCCACTTCCAAACAGAAGCATATTAACCTCCCAGACTGTCTTAGAACACAACTTCAGAGACATTTTATTTTGCATACATAAACAGAGTTGGTGCCATTGTATAGCACAAAAATGCTAAAAAAGAAAACTTGACCAAGTTTCATAAAACTGAAGGGTCTAATTTTTACCTGGTATCCCTTTAGGTAGTCAAGGGTTCAGATGTAGATAGCTCTTTCAAAGACAGACCAAAAAAAGGCAGTTTTAATATTCCCTGATATCTCAAATTGCTTAAATGCTAAAGAGCTCATGCAAACTTAGCCTGTGCTTTGTTCTTGTAGGAGTACTGTATTTTGGATTCATTTTTGAAACAAACGTTATCTACAGAGACCAATCCATTTTCCACCTTCTCTCAAAGGGCTTTGGAAGATGTCAATAGTGTTTTCATTTCAGCAACGACGTTTGCTTTCCAATAAAAGCCAGCTTTTTAATGAAAAGTTTATACCCCCAAACAGACTGTTTTTGAGAGACTCCAAATTGTGGTTTCCAATCGGATAAGAACTACACACCAGGGTGCAAATATGTCATTGCATAACATTTGTTTTCAGTGCAGTAAATTCAGGGCAGCTGAGCGCTATTACCAGCTACTTTGGCAATGAGGTACTTCTCTTCTCCCCCACCCCCATCCCCTTCCCTCCCACATTATAGACTTATGTCACAAAATAGGCTTGTTGGTCACTTGCTGGCTAAATTTTAGGGTACTTTTAAAAATACCTCTCTCTCAACATCAAACTATAAAAGCACCTTTGGCTTTGTGTTCAAAGCAAATTAATGTTATGAGCTGCAGGAGAGATTTTATCCCTCTGAATGGGACCACACAAGCAGTTGAGTTCTTCAATATTCCAGTTGCATGGAGGGTTTTCAATAGACCCCTTAGCTCACGATGTTGCTTGTCAACAGCATCTCCTTTAAAATAATGTTTTTTCCTTTTAAAACGGAGTTGGTAACCCACAGGTTACGCCGTTACAGTTTCCACAGCAATGTCAGTAGGCTGCTCTGTTTCCACCACAGTGGCTGCAGACCCTTCCATTTCCTCCGATGATACCACAACTGCATCCACCTCAGCAACCTCTTCAACCACTGTAAGCTCAGCACCATTGGGCTGCTGTCTTGCCATGGCTTCAAGCTTTAGCCGGTATTGCTCTGCTTCTTGTTCTTTCTTCATTAGCTGGCTTCGATATTCTTGCGCCTTTCGGTTTGCCTCTTGCAACTGCTGCTGTAACATTTCCCTTTCGTTATCGTCCTACAAAACAAGACAGCCTCTGACTAGTGCCCAGATGAGTCAGCAGCTTGAGCCTGTATCTGGGATGCAAGCACTAATACACAATACCTAGATACAGGTAAGAAAGGACAGACCAAGTGCATAGAGAGATAATGGATGTCTCAGGGCATAGGGATACAAAGCCTTTTGCCTCTACTCATTGGTACAACCCAGCCCTGCTTGCGATTTATCACCTAAGGGCTGATTACTGGCTTATGTTAAAGTGAAATCAAGTTGCACATGGTATATGTTAAGGCAGAATCTGTCTGCTGGTCTTTTCAGCAAGGTAGGATAGGGACAGTTCTCTAGTATAAGTAACCCCATAAGGATGGATTCGTGAGGTTTCCATATTTTATTATAATCCACATGCAAAAGCAACAGTGTTGGCAACTGGGGAGAGGGATAGAAAAATAGACTAAACAAAAAAAGAACACCTAGTGGCCCCCAAAATCAAAAGTTAAGTACATATCCTTCCAAATGGAGGGTGCTGGATAAGTTATCTGACTTTCTTTAAAACTGCAACTGGAATGTGAAGAGAGGTCAGTCTCACATTGGGTCTTATCACTGCAGTTTTAGAGGGAGTTCAAAATAATACAGCAGAGTACAATGCTTCAACTCAATAGCCTGGGCTCAAAAACTAACTGACAAGATTACACAAAGAGCGACTTGGAAGAGAATCTTCCTTCCACCACCAGTGACTCAATTGCTAACACTACTTGCCCCATGGCCTAGTGGACAGAGCACTTCACTGCCATGCAGGAGACTTGGGTTCTTATTCCCTGCTCTGCCACTGGGTGACAGTATACAAGTCACTTCCCCCCCCTCTGTGCCTCTCTGTGCCTTTTCCCTCCCCTTAAATGGGGACAATGATACTCACCTTCTCTGTAAAGCATCTGATATCTACTAATGAACAGCACTACATAAGAGTTAGGTGGTATTCATGTATTGCATATTAATAACTGATCATACAGACTGAGCAAAAAGAATGGGAAACATTATAGTGAGAGTTTTCAGAAATGGCAAAGGCATGATCATTGACTAAATTTAAAATCAACTTGGGCCACATCATTTATATTGAGTGTTATTTTGTAACTATACTTGAAACTCCACATTCTCAGTTCAGTGGAGTTTCCTTTCCTGATACTTTAGACTGCACCCACTTTCTATGAAAGTTATAAACAGGAACTTTTACCTTGTTTTCCTCCAAATCATTTACATTTGGGTCAACTTTTTGCTTCTTTGCTGGTGGATGTTCTTCCTCTTCTACATCATCATCATCTTCTTCTTCTTCAATAACAGTCTCTTCTGCAACCTGACCAGCAGGTACAGTTAGAACTACAAGTCAAGGAATATTAAATGCAGGAAATGAATATACAACGGATTATAGATGCTTTTATACATAAATCCAGAGACAGACTACTTTGAAATTAATGTAGGAGAGAGGTGCTGCTCCGCATAGAAGTGGTGGGAAACTTAATCAGCAATTCCTAATTCCTAAGATTCTCCCAGCTAGTTTCAGAGCCCATTCACCACCTTTCTTCTTGCTGTAGGAAATAGGATGTCTTAATGCAAGATCTGAACAAGGAAACCTAACCCATGACTTGATCAGAAGCTCTACGTCCATCAGCAGAGGATTCACAAAGCTTGTTACTTCTACATTTCAATTAAGTGGAAAATGACAACTGGAGCACTCTCTGGAAAAAGTGTGGGTCCAATTCTAAGAGGTGCTGAGGGCATTCTCAAAGCACTCTGCATCTTGCAGGATCATTTCTTTTATTGAAAGGTGGTGAATGGGCTCTGAAACTAGTTGGGAGAATCTTAAATCAGCAAAGGTGAATGTTTTTGTTAAAAACACTCCCTATTTTAGGGAATACTGTAGATCTTTCATCATCCTGTTCTTCTCAATAGTATACCAATTGAATTAAGAGGGTACATAAAACTTGTGAATTTTCCAGATATGAACTACTGTGTTTTATCAAAAGAGTTCAATCAGGAACATTGACAGACAAGCTACAGATCAATAATTACGTGTAGACATTTGGCAAATAATTCTGAATAAATTTGAGAAAATTGGTTTCCATTCATGGACATTTTGCAAACAGAGGTGAAATGAAAATAAGTAATTCATTAATGACTGGTCTGCACATCTCTAAACTACCTATAACTTTACATAGGTGTGTTGGTTTGTGAAACTGACAGATTAGGATGGTCTAAGGCAATACAATTAGAGTAATGGGATGAAAAGGTATTCTTAACCTGACAATCAAGAAAAATGTTTTAAACCAAGTTCTACTTAGAGTCTGGAATAATCACCCAATGGATCTTGGTAGAAGCACAATTGGTTGAGTTATTTAAATCCAGATTGGAGAGGACACATACAATCATGTAGTAGGAAACAATCCTAGCCTAGCTGGTGGGAATGCACCAGATAACCTAATAAATATTTACCATAAATAAATTCTATTATACATGTTTTACTCATTTTAATTCAACTATTAATATTCATATAAAAATGTAGCACTGTGCTTATCTGTGTTAAAGTAGAATGATTATGTAACTAGCCTCAGTCATAAACCTTAATTCTTCTCTCCATTCTTTTAGAGAACTCACTTGGAAGGTATGAATTGTAGCAGCACACTATGAGCAAGCTGAACTATGTAATGGCCTCATCATTTTTCCTTCCCTTTCCCCCGCCATCCCTAGTTTCCTAAGTCTAGGTCTATGCATCTACCATAGCTATTTTTCCCCCCCCTTAACATCAGGAAAGTCTAAAACGGGCTTACAGTTTTCTAAACTCAGCAGCCTCTTACCTTGCTGTCCATCTTGCATGGTCACTATAAACGGCTGGCTGATACCACTAGTAGGAATGGCTGTTTGGAGACTGCCCAGTGGAACGCCATCTGTTACTATCGTAATGACTCGTTGACCTCCACTACCAACCACCTGCTGTATTGCAGAATCTACAGAATTTGCTTCCACTATTTCCTCTGTGTTAGCTGGAGAAAGCAGAGCAAAACTCTCGAGTTAGCTTTTTCTTTTTAAAAAAAAAGCATAGAGTAAACGAGTCAATGTTTACTGCACAAAAACCCCAAACACTGAAGCATCTGGTATGGAGTAATCGGCAAATGTTAAAAATCTAAAGTGGACAAAATAAAATACCAATACAACCCCAGCAACTTTTCAATGGTAAAATAATTCTCTTCAGATACCTAGATGAATTTAAAGCACCAGGATTCACAAATACAACGAATACAGTAAAAAGTACTCAGTCGCTGAAAAAAAATGGGTTCAAATGTTAAAGATTATTACATAAGGTTTGTTTTTAAAAAAGATGGCCAACTTGATAATTCTCAAGTCAACTGGTGGTTTTCACACACTGCACATTGTAAATAATCATAAACCAGTGGTTCTCAACCCACGACCCAATCAGTACACAGCTGTGGCACGTGACATCCTCAGGGCCACGTAGGTACTATATATATTGTGTGGATAAAGCCCACATAACAGAGAGCTGCATATGTGGCCCACAATGGTAAATAGGCTGAGAATCACTGCCATTAAGCATCACAAAATTATTTTTAGAATAAAGTACTGTAGAACCCCATTTTACAAACTAATTGGGGACTAAGGAGTTCATAAAATCAGAAAGTTCAATTCTATGAACATCTCAAAATTACTGCAGGCACAGCGCATAAATTGCAATTTGATGCCATGAATTATTTTCTTCTTGTCCTTCAAAACCACTGCAAAGCAATTTCCAATACATTGATAGCATTGGAACATAAAGGGGTGACAACTCGCTCGAAATCACTTTTACCATTATTATTTCCCACCCCCCCACTGTCGGGAAAAATGGTTCCTGTAAATGGTTGTTCGTGATGTTCATAAAATTAAGGCTCTATGGTATGCATAAAAAGAACCCAAATGTTACCAAGTCCTCAAGGAATCCTAACACTTGTTTAAAAATAAACTAACTAAATAAAATCGAGGCACTGTAAAATCGGGGGAACACACAAAATATCGATGTGGCGATAAAATCATTCCAAACTATCTGTTTTGTAAAACTGGAGTTTGAAAAAATATCACTGTCCATATTTGTGTAGTAAGGAGCATCTGACAGAGATACAAGCTGTGTTCTATTTATTTTTATAACACTTAGCTGGACAGAACAATTCTAACAGGATCCAGGTCAAAACAGGATAGAATGAAAGAATGGTTAGTAAAAACAACTTTGGTGCTTCATTCAAAGGAGCAACTATAGTCTGTAGAAATATCTATGAGCTATGATAACAGATAAATCTATTAGCCTTGCAACTGCTGCCAAATATATCACTTTGCAACTCTCGAGTTATGCTGAATGAATTCAAATCCTTTTTACAAGCTATACTTAAGTAACCCAATTTCTTTACGATTTCTTGCAAATGATGCACTAGGGATTAAATATATTGATGTCAACACCAGATTCATTCCACTTACTTGAAGATCTGTTTGAATTGGAAAGGGGAGCAGATGCTTCAGCGAGGGCTGCAAGCGTGGCAAGCACAGAGGTTGTTGAGTTTGAAAACTGTACTGTAGAGACACGGGAATCACCTGTTTTGAGGAAATGAAGGCAAGTGAAGGAGATTTGCAGTCTGAGTATTCTACTGTAATATTAAACTTTACTAAAAAAACCTACTGCTCTACTGGGGCAGTTTTTCCAGCCTACAATTCATACCTAGCATACATAACTTCAAGATCTGAAACAGTCCCACATACTGTTCTTAGAACATGGTTGAAATAATTACCTTATATTTAATATTCATTTCACTGGATTTAAAAATAAATGTATTTGAAACAATGCAAAGGAATTAAATTGAGTAAATCGATGCAAGCTAACGTGACTTACTCCAGAATTGTCACAAAGATCACCTACAAGTGGCCAGATGGTAATCCACTGGGCTATCAAAATCTAGATTTTGGCACCACACTTAGCTTTCATTCTGAACAGATGTGAACAATGTTTTCAAAAGCCACACATGATCAAAATACAGGGCCTCATCAGCACAGACTAGACGCAGTCTGACTACACAGGCTGAACACATTAGCATTATGCAAAAGCAGTTGCTATACATTTAATTAATTTTACCTGACTTTGCAGTCTCACATTAATTTCAATTACAGAATTGCAAATGCCAAACTTTTTTTAAAAAACCTGTTGACATAAGCTAATTATACAACCCAAATTCTTTTACTGAGAGATTCTGCCAATCTATAAAGTATTGGCTCCATTCAGCATTGCTTTTTAGAAAACACACATTTTGTTTGTTACAAATCAACTGAGTTTTTTCTTGAAAGCTAAATCAGTCAATTATAACCACTTCACAATTTCAACGTACAGTTTGAAAACCAGCTTCAAAAAATAAGCCAGTCAGTTGAAATGCAACAAAGGAACTATCAGTCAGCATATCAAGTTCTTGGACTGCAGATTTGGCTTTGTGCAAGGAATAAAAATCATCCCAATTCCAGTGCGAGAAGCTTCTTCCCTCAACTGAGCACAGTAACCCATTACACTTAGATACAGTACTGACTGAACAGAAGAAAGACATCTAAGTGGGACCAAAATCAGTATATCCAATAAGCTATTTTCAGAAAGTTTAACTTTGTTATTTCTGAACAAAATTTCTTCAGGCAAGTAAAAGACATTTGTCCTCATTAAGGAATTTGTAGTTTTAAATAAACTTTTTAGTCACCTACGAGCAAGAAGTGGTACAAAAAGTGTCTTAACTGGTGAAAAAAGTTAAACTATTACGTGCTGTGATTTTAGTACAGTCTCTAGTGCCCTCTGTGGGCAAATAAGAGAAAAGCTAAGGACATGGGGCCAGCAAACCCTTATCCCCACAACAGACCAGGAGTTATTATTGACAGGAGTAAAGTTTTAGAGTGTGGCACTCAAAAAGAACAAAATGGGGAAAAAAAATATATTGGCCTTTTCATATTTTTAACATTAACCGGGTACATATATTGCAGGAATGTCCTTGTTTTAGGGAAAGGTGTGACATTATCCATGTGAAGCACTGTTAATCCTCAGGGTTTTTTTTTTTTTTGGGGGGGGGGGGGAGATAAGGAGGGGAGTGTTAATTATGGGATTTGTCTATTTATTAAAGGAGTAAACCACATGGGAAGTTTCTACTCAAAGTAAGTTCAGAGTCTCACTGAAGTCAATGGGGCCACACAGGATTAGGGTGCCACTTGTACCGATCCAATTGCAGCACTGGGCCCTTAGAACTGAAAACAGGAAACATCCACATTTGTAATATTGCTCCAATCAACTCTGGCAAACACTCATGCATGTGAACAGTCCCATTAGCTTCAAAAGTTACTCACATGCAGAAGTGTTTGCAGGGTCAGGCCCTCAACTTGCTTCATAAACCTTGTATTTAGAAGCCTCCTTAAGACTGAAAAGAAACAGTTTGGATTTCCCAAATAACAAAAAACAACACGTTATAAAGTCTCACGTAAGGAAAAGAATTTATATTCGGCCTTAAATGAATTTTTCAGACAAATTTACGGAAATAACTAGCTTCCCCATTTTTGTATATTATCTCTAACCTATTGGCTAGGAAAAAATAAGTTGAGTAATCTGTACACCCAAAATACATTCTCTGCAATGATTTTTCATTTGTTTCCTTATTTAACAATCAAATACACAAGATGACTCACTCTGCTCTTCCAGTTAATAAGTAATAAAATAGAGTATTGAATGAAACCTTGACAAATTTAGGGATTAGGGACTAAATGGTGAATATCTTACCTACTCAAATTTTACCAGTGGAACTGGCATTGGCCACTGTCGGAAGACAGAATACTTACTGGGCTAGATGGACTTTTGGTCTGACCCAGTATGGACTGTTCTTATGTTAACTCTCAGTGCGTTGTAGTTTGAGTCCTTAACATTTTCCAAGTTATGAAGGTTCTATTTTATTGCTTATAATACATACTGAGCCAGATCCTCAACTGGTGAAAATAGCAAAGCTCTCTGCTGACTCAATGGAACAAGGCTTTTTATGCCAGCTGAAGTTCTAGCCCATTATCTTTTACAGATAAAGTGTGTATTTTGGTGCATTCCAATATGTTTTAAAGATCTTTCTCTACTAACTTGGAACATCTGCCTTCTACAATTCAGAAGTCTGAACTGAGAGACGCAGCTTTCTAAAAACCTTTACACAAGAAATATTTTGGAGAAATATTTTTCGCCTACATGTTCACAGAATCTTACCTGAGGTTGTTTTGGTGTTTGCTGAAGAAACAAAACTAGCAAGATTGAGAACGTCCCCTGATGCAAGGATAAATGGTGAGGCAACAGTCACTGTATTTGTGACAGGATTTGATCTCTCTGGATTCATGTTCACCTGATTCTGCATTGCCTCCTTAAGAAGAAAATGCAATTAGGCACACATTTTTATCTCATCTCCAATAAGAGAAATAATACTTGGCACCCATACCTGATTCTCTGCTGCTCTGCACCTTGTATAGTCAAATAATTGTATTTGCTTTGCACTGGTGCAAAAGTAGGTATAAAATACTACCAAATCAGAAATGACAGCATTTTACACTAGTAAAAGGAAAAGGAGTACTTGTGGCACCTTAGAGACTAACCAATTTATTTGAGCATAAGCTTTCATGAGCTACAGCTCACTTCATCGGATGCATACTGTGGAAAGTGTAGGTTTCAGAGGAACAGCCGTGTTAGTCTGTATTCGCAAAAAGAAAAGGAGTACTTGTGGCACCTTAGAGACTAACCAATTTATTTGAGCATGAGCTTTCGTGAGCTACAGTCTGATGAAGTGAGCTGTAGCTCACGAAAGCTCATGCTCAAATAAATTGGTTAGTCTCTAAGGTGCCACAAGTACTCCTTTTCTTTTTGTGGAAAGTGTAGAAGATCTTTTTATACACACAAAGCACGAAAAAATACCTCCCCCCACCCCACTCTCCTGCTGGTAATAGCTTATCTAAAGTGATCACTCTCCTTACAATGTGTATGATAATCAAGGTGGGCCATTTCCAGCACAAATCCAGGGTATAACAAGAACGTCTGGGAGGAACAAGGGGAAATAGGTTACCTTGCATAATGACTTAGCCACTCCCAGTCTCTATTCAAGCCGAAGTTAATTGTATCCAATTTGCAAATGAATTCCAATTCAACAGTCTCTCCCTGGAGTCTGGATTTGAAGTTTTTTTGTTTTAATATCGCAACTTTCTTCTCTGTAATCGCGTGACCAGAGAGATTGAAGTGTTCTCTGACTGGTTTATGAATAATTCTTGACATCTGATTTGTGTCCATTTATTCTTTTACGTAGAGACTAACATGGCTGTTACTCTGAAACCTATCAGTTTTACACTAGTGTAAATCAATACACAAGTTGCAGGGCAACAGAGAATCAAGCCCACTATCTAAATAGCCTTTTCCAAACATTAACTAATCAACCTTGTAATAAAATTAAAATAATCTGCTTCTTCCATTCCCATTTCCCAGAGGCATGTTTCCACAAACATTCCAACAACAAAAAAGCCAATTCCATGAGTTCAGAAGCAGAGTTTCTGAAGAATTGTGTGCATGCAAAGAAAACTAATGCAGCTCAGAAATTTGGGACATTATTCTCCAAATCTACTATCTCAGTGATGAAGAAACGAATATCAATTGACATTTCAATATTTTATACAAGTTACCACAATTCTGATTCAGGCATGTAAAATAGAAAGTTTCTGTAGGAAATGTTCATTCTCATCGCACTGGCAAACTCTGTAGGCAGATAACGTACTTTCCCTGTAATTATCAGCTAACATTTTTCCTCCTTAACCCACCTGCAGCATTACCAGAGTCTCTGCATTGTTCTTGTCCAGGGCTATATCAAAGGCTGATTTATCAAACTTGCTGAAAGCGTGAACATCAGCTCCATACTTTATAAGCAACTCTACAACATCGCGATGGTTGTGTTCTGTTGCCCAGTGCAAGGCAGTCATCTTCAACATGTCCTTGGCATTTACATCAGCACCATTCTGAGAGAAAAAAAGAATTGCTTTCATCTACCGTGTTTTTTTCAGTGCATGGCCTCTCCCTGATTCAAGAGAAACAGGCTAAACAAAGAGTGGGATACACAAAGGTACTTCGGCACTTAAATCCCATACTTAGGCAGCTAAGTCCCAGTTCTGGCTCCACTGGAATCCACAAAACTCCTGCCAAACCCTACAGGTGCCTAAACTCAGTCAGTGCCTCCTTTTGTCAGAGTAAGAGTTCCCTTGGCACCTACGTTCCTGCCTCTGGGTATGTGCACAGCCCTCTGAGCAGCTGGATGCCTACCTCCCACCAAAGCCCCAGCATGAACATGGTTCGAACGAAGGGGAAGACAGACATTCAGCTGCCTAAGACACATGCAGGGCTTGATCCAGAAGGCATGCTCAGAAGTGCTTGAGGCACGACTCCAAGTGGCAGGTTCCCATTCATAGACAGATGCCTCCCTGCAGCCCAGAGTCAGGCACCTATCTCCAATAGAAGAGCGGAGCATAGTGCACCCCCCTCATTAGCGTCTCCCACTGGTACCTTAGGGTGGAGCTACCTACCATGCTGGCTTTTGTGGATTGCATTCTAACACATCTATCTCCCCTCATTCATTGTATGGAATATAAACGCCTAGCCCAGCTTTGTGGATCACAGTGTTGTTCCTGTGAATGTCTAGGCACCTAAAAGTTAAGTGCCACCATCACGCTCAGCATTGCAATGTTTAAGTCCCTTCATGGATCCCACCCAACATGCTGTCAAATCTCTTACAATTATACTCATCCTAGGTATTATTTGTTACAACAGGTAAAACAATTCAGACAATAGGATTCTTTAAGCAAACAGTGTTGCTTTAACGTCATCCTGACATTCTCCTGCACAGGCATCACACTGTTTTAAATCAGCATTTCTCAAAGTGGGGGTCCCGACCCAAGAGGGGGTTGCAAGGCTATTGTCAGTGGGTCATGGTATTGCCACCCTTCCTTCTGTGCTGCTGCTGGCAGCGGCGCTGCCTTCAGAGCTGAGCTGCTGGAGAGCTGGCTGCTGGCCGACTGCCCAGCTTTGAAAGCAGCGCCACCATCAGTAGCACCACAGAAGGAAAGGTGGCATGATATGGGGCTGGGGGTGTTGTCACAGCGTGAAATATTTCCAAGGGGGGGCGGGGCACCAACAAAAACGAACCCCTGTTTTAAATCTCCTATATTTATCACTAAGGGCTAGTCTACACTAGAGATGGGATGGTATTCCAAGAAGGATTGCTAGGCAGAGATGGGCTCCATCTAAACAAAGAGAGGGAAGAGCATCTTCGCAAGCAGACTGGCTAACCTAGTGAGGAGGGCTTTAAAAAAAGTTCACCGGGGGAAGGAGACCAAAGCCCTGAGGTAAGTGGGGAAGTGGGATACCAGGAGGAAGCATGAGCAGGAGAGAGCAAGAGGGGAGGACTCCTGCCTCATACTGAGAAAGCAGGACAATCAGCAAGTTATCTTAAGTGCCTATACACAAATGCAAGAAGCCTGGGAAACAAGCAGGGAGAACTGGAAGTGCTGACACAGTCAAGGAATTATGATGTGATTGGAATAACAGAGACTTGGTGGGATAACTCACATTACTGGAGTACTGTCCTGGATGGATATAAGCTGTTCAGGAAGGACAGGCAGGACAGAAAAGGTGGGGGAGTTGCATTGTATGTAAGAGCAGTATGACTGCTCAGAGCTCCAGTATGAAACTGCAGAAAAACCCAAGAGTCTCTGGATTAAGTTTAGAAGTGTGAGCAACAAGGGTGATGTCATGGTGGGAATCTGCTATAGACCACCAGACCAGGGGGATGAGGCTTTCTTCAGACAACTAACAGAATTAACTAAATCACAGGCCCTGTTTCTCATGTGAGACTTCAATCACCCCGGTATCTGCTGGGAGAGCAATACAGCAGTGCACAGACAATCCAGGAAGTTTTTGGAAAGTGTAGGGGACAATTTCCTGGTGCAAGTTCTGGAGGAACCAACTAGGGGCAGAGCTCTTCTTGACCTGCTGCTCACAAACCGGGAAGAATTAGTAGGAGAAGCAAAAGTGGATGGGAACCTGGGAGGCAGTGACCATGAGATGGTTGAGTTCAGGATCCTCACACAAGGAAGAAAGGAGAGCAGACTGACTCCCTCAGGGAACTGATGGGCAGGATCCCCTGGGAGAATAACATGCGGGGGAAAGGAGTCCAGGAGAGCTGGCTGTATTTTAAAGAATCCTTATTGAGGGCGCAGGAACAAACCATCCCAATGTGTAGAAAGAATAGTAAATATGGCAGGCAACCAGCTTGGCTTAACAGTGAAATCCTTGCTGATCTTCAACACAAAAAAGAAGCTTACAAGAAGCGGAAGATTGGACAAATGACAAGGGAGGAGTATAAAAATATTGCTCAGCCATGCAGGAGTGAAATCAGGAAGGCCAAATCACACTTGGAGTTGCAGCTGGCAAGGGATGTTAAGAGTAAAAAAGTGTTTCTACAGGCATGTTAACAACAAGAAGGTGGTTAGGGAAAGTGTGGGCCCCTTACTGAATGGGGGAGGCAACCTAATGACAGAGGATGTAGAAAAAGCTAATGTACTCATTGCTCTTTTTGCCTCTGTCTTCATGAACAAGGTCAGCTCCCAGACTCCTGCACTGGGCAGCACAGCATCGGGAGGAGGTGACCAGCCCTCTGTGGAGAAAGAAGTAGTTCGGGACTATTTAGAAAAGCTGGATGAGCACAAGTCCATGGGGCTGGATGCGCTGCATCAGAGGGTGCTAAAGGAGTTGGTGGATGTGATTGCAGAGCCATTGGCTATTATCTTTGAAAACTCATGGTGGTCAGGCGAGGTCCCGGATGACCAGAAAAAGGCTAATGTAGTGCCCATCTTTCAAAAAGGGAAGGTGTAGCCAGACAGCCAGCCCCCCCCCCTCAGACCAGCATTGCTGGAAACACAGGAGGAAGCCGGAACAGGGCACTTAACATATATTCCAGCACAGCCTTTGAAGCTGTGAAAGCACAGGTGTGCTGCTACAATGTGCCTCTGGGAACAGATACAACGATTAAGCTCACAGCAGGCAGAGGCCCTGTGACAGACATGGCTCTTAGCCCCTACTCAATAGCGTGATGCACACACACCAACATCCTAGGTGGGAAAATATTTACCCTGATAAAAGAAATGTCCAGTAGTCGAAACTTATTGTTTCTCTCCCTTGCAAGTGTAAACTACTCTTGCGAAAGCTGGCATCACCCAGACAGACCAGCCTCAATTTGGCATAAGAAAGGAGAAAGAGAATAAAGGAGTACAGAGGTATAAGTAGGGGACCTACAGCACCATGATTTTTGAGTGCTTTTCACTATCTATCTGCTGGTCAGATAAGTGACAGCCTCCCAAGGCTTCTGCAGCTAAGAGGGTCCCTACGCCTTGTCCCTTATTCGTCATTCCGCGGAACTGAGTGACCGATCCTGGCTTGGCACCGCTGGAATCGAGAGATGCAAGGAGGGTAAGAAGCACCCACACCTGATCTCCTATCTTTAGTGTACACATATTTTGAAATAGAGCTCTATACTTTGTTTTCTTTCTTTGGGATTGTGGCTTCAGTTTTGTAACTTGTTTGTGTGTGTAACATCTCTACATTTAAATAAGTAGGCACTAGCAATTTTGTAACCACATGATTAGAATCTAGCTTAATAAATTTTGGTAACCATTTATGCATAAGCCTGACTTGTTTTCTCTGGTTTACTGTAAAGCAGACAACACAATTAAAGAACCTCAGCCGTTTTGGCTCTAAAGCCTGGCCATTAGGTGAGAGTACTAAGAGCCTAGCGTTGAGTTGTGCTGCCTCCACGGGGCAAACTCTTGGGGCACCTGTCAGTCAATCCTGGCTGCCCGCTGCGAAGGAGCTCTGAGCTCTAGCAGTTAAAGTCACGGGTGGTTAGGACCTTGGGGCATCCGTCAGCCTAGCCCGGGCTGCCCGCCGCGAAGGGACAGTGCGTCCTAGCGGTTAAAGTCACGGATGGTATAAACGGGCATAGCTGGCATCTCACCAAACATCCTTGGCCGTCGGCTAACAGAAATAGGAGGATCCAGGGAACTACAGGCCAGTCAGCCTCACCTCAGTCCCTGGAAAAATCATGGAGCAGATCCTCAAGGAATCAATTTTGAAGCACTTTGAGGAGAGGAAAGTGATCAGAAACAGTCAGCATGGATTCACCAAAGGCAAGTTATGCCTGACTAACCTAATTGCCTTCTCTGATGAGATAACTGGCTCTGTGGATGAGGGGAAAGCAGTGGACATGTTATTCCTTGACTTTAGCAAAGCTTTTGAGACTGTCTCCCACAGTATTCTTGCCAGCAAGTTAAAGTAGTATGGGCTGGATGAATGGACTATAAGGTGGATAGAAAGCTGGCTAGATTGTCAGGCTCAACGGGTAGTGATCAATGGCTCCATGTCTAGTTGGCAGCCGGTATCAAGCAGAGTGCCCCAAGGGTCGGTCCTGAGGCCGGTTTTGTTCAATATCTTCATTAATGATCTGGAGGATGGTGTGGATTGCACCCTCAGCAAGTTTGCAGATGACATTAAACTGGGAGGAGAGGTAGATACGCTGGAGGGTAGGGATAGGATACAGAGGGACCTAGATAAATTGGAGGATTGGGCCAAAAGAAATCTGATGCGGTTCAACAAGGACAAGTGCAGAGTCCTGCATTTAGGAAGAAAGAATCCCATACACTGCTACAGACTAGGGACCGAGTGGCTAGGCAGCAGTTCTGCAGAAAAGGACCTAGGGGTTACAGTGGACGAGAAGCTGGATATGAGTCAACAGTGTGCACTCGTTGCCAAGAAGGCTAATGGCATTTTGGGCTGTATAAGTAGGAGCACTGCCAATAGATCGAGGGACGTGATCATTCCCTTCTATTCATAGAATAGAATCATAGAATATTAGGGTTGGAAGGGACCTCAGGAGGTCATCTAGTCCAACCCCCTGCTCAAAGCAGGACCAATCCCCAATTTTTGCCCCAGATCCCTAAATGGCTCTCTCAAGGATTGAACTCAAAACCCTGGGTTTAGCATTCCAATGCTCAAACCACTGAACTATCCCACCAATTCGGCATTGGTGAGGCCTCATCTGGAGTACTGTGTCCTGTTTTGGGCCCCACACTACAGGAAGAATGTGGAAAAATTGGAAAGCGTCCAGCAGAGGGCAACAAAAATGATTGGGGGCTGGAGCATGACTTATGAGGAGAGGCTGAGAGAACGGGGGGGGGGGGGAACAATAGCTCAGTGGTTTGAGCATTGGCCTGCTAAACCCAGGGTTGTGAGTTCAATCCTTGAGGGGGCCATTTGGGATCTGGGGCAAAAATTGGGGATTGGTCCTGTTTTGAGCAGGGGGTTGGACTAGATGACCTCCTGAGGTCCTTTCCAACCCTGATATTCTAGGATTCTATGAACTGGGATTATTTAGTCTGCAGAAGAGAAGAGTGAGGGGGGATTTGATAGCTGCTTTCAACTACCTGAAAGGGGGTTCCAAAGAGGATGGCTCTAGACTGTTCTCAGCGGTAGCAGATGACAGAACAAGGAGTAATGGTCTCAAGTTGCAGTGGGAGAGGTTTAGGTTGGATATTAGGAAAAACTTATTCACTAGGGGGGTGGTGAAGCACTGGAATGGGTTACCTAGGGAGGTGGTGGAATCTCCTTCCTTAGAGGTTTTTAAGGTCAGGCTTCACAAAGCCCTGGCTGGGATAATTTAGTTGGGGATTGGTCCTGCTTGAGCAGGGGGTTGGACTAGGTGACCTCCTGAGGTCCCTTCCCACCCTGACAGTCTATGATTCTCTTGCAACTTTAAAGCTCCGCTGCAGCAGCGCTTTAACATGCCTTGGGTGGCTGCGGCGCAGAGCTGGGAGAGAGCCACCTCAATGAGCAGTGTAGCTCCCGCCACTGGGGCACTGTTTACACTAGTGCTTTACAGTGTTGCCATTTGCCACGCTTGGGGTGGGGGGGTGCTTTTTCACATCCCTGAGCAAGCAAGTTGCAGCGCTGTTAACTGCCAGTGTAGATAAGTCCTAAATTAAGGAGTGATTTCATTGAACAATTCTGAGGTTTCCTTAGAAAAGTTTTTTAAATGATACTTAAGAGGGGGAAGAAGTTTTGTATTTCATCCTACCAATAAAAATATTTAATTGGCATTAATCTACCAATAACTTCTTCACATAGAGAGAAATGCCCCATAAGGGACATTACAATGTAATTTATATTCTGCAGACTGATGATACACAACATCTCACTTACCCTAATTAGCAATTCTACAATATGTGTATGTCCATCAGCTGCAGCCATATGCAGTGGTGTCCTGTCCACTTTGGTTCGAGCATCTCTGCTAACACCTGCTCGAAGCAGCACTTCCGCTGTTGAATAATGGCCATACTGGGCCGCAAGGTGAAGAGGTGATGTCCCAAGCTGTATATTAAAAAAATGTTTTTAAAGAAGTTATCTGTTCAACATAGGTGTGGAAGCACATATTTATCTCCATTAATGCGTTCAACAATTTTAAAGAACTATAATTACATCCCCATCACATCCCCCACAGTAGGGGAGGTACAAACCCCTAAATGCACAGGGGCAAGGGGAAAAACCAAGAGCAACCTGGCCAGAGGGCTGAATGTCAGGAAGTGGTAGAGGGCTGAGTGTAATGGATAGATCACAATGGGGCCTTGAGAGCAACTGCTGGCAGGGGGAACCCAATGCAGAGGGATGGCTGTGGTGCCAGAAGGGGGCAAACCAATCAGCAACTGACCCTGCAACAAGCACGAATTATATAAATGAATAGTTGGGATTATAGTCTGTGTGTAGAAAGCAAACAAAATTAGATTGTGATCACATGCACTGAGGCAAATGTTATGTTAACAAATAAACTGATCACTGAACTATAGTTCTGTCAAATGAGATCTGATATACAATTACTTTAAATGGAACATTGAAAACATATCCACAAAAATAAAAAAAGGCGTTAGTTGCCAATCAGTAGGGGTGTCTTAGTGCTCTAATTCCCTCTTCGAAGCTTTAAATTCAGTATTTAAATGTACTTAGCAAGTTAATATAGTTTGAAAAACATTGACATTTAAGGATCACTTTAAAGAAGACTCAAAAGGAGTGATCAAACACCTGCATACACAAGAAAAGGTAAAATATTGCTCAACATTCTATAACAGCAGCACCCAAACTGGCTACACTGGGAACTTATCAGGAGCATGAATGCCATGCGTTGGCCCCATCCTGTAACTATTTAGACCCATACTTAACCTTACTACCCAGGACTAGCCCCATTTACTCCGATGGGGCTACTCCATGATAGTAAAGTTCTTGCAGGAGGCCTCCTGTGAATAACAGGGGTCAGCCAACGTTGACCAGCTTTCAGGATCAAGGCCTAAGTCTGCATAAACACTTCCAAAGTGCATGACTAGAAATGCTTGTTGCTTGAATTTCCCAGCAATGAAACATCACAGTTAATCAGTCTGGTCATCATCACACAGTTACAGAGAGAGGGTGCCCAGGAGCTCAATTAGGATTCTAAGATTATCACCTACCCCGCTCAGGCTGCCCTCAAAGGATCTGTTCTATATTTTAGTTGGAGTAAATACCTTTTTGGAAAAAGTAGCCTTTTCTATTAAAAACATACCCAGTCAGTGGTGAAAGGGGCACCATTTGCCATTAATGTTCTAACTTCATCATCTTGCCCTTTCCGAGCTGCTTCTAGCAACCTCTTTCCGAGGTCCACTAACGACATCTTTATACATGGGAACAAATATTTTCAGAAAGCTGCATTTTAAAACAGGGAAAAAAAAACACTTTAAATGTGCAATGTGACTAAAATATCATCAGCTAGACTAGGACATAGATGCACACTGGAAATCAATCTATGCTGGATATGGCCACTAAATTACTTAATGAGTTAAGTGTTTATGAAAATATACATATTTTTAATCTTCAATACTTGCAACATGATAGGAATGCAAAATGCAACCCTGATCCTGCAACTGCATCAGCAGATACAGACCAATGGCTCACATGTACCCCTGTTTACTTCAGAGGCTCAATATGGACCTGAGTTGAAGTCTACCATAGCAACAGCAACACTTAGTATATACAGCATTTTACAAAGATTAATTACTTCATCTTCACAACCACCCCACCTCCATGAGCTAAGGGGCTGGTATCCTTGTCCTCGTTTTACAGCTGGCAGTCACTGAAAAATAAAGTGACTTGTCCACGTTCATAAAGGTAGTCCGTTTTAGAGCTGGAAATAGGAACTCCTGGGTTCTAGTCCTGTGCTAAGTCTACTAAGCAACGCTGCCTCTGTTTTTCAAGCTATACTTTAAAGGTATAATAAATACGGTAATCAGGGGATCTGAAGTTCTTGTCTGACACAGATACAGTGGCATTTCATTCCTATGAAGAACTGACTTCAAGCCTAAGTATTAATTTAGGTGTGAGACTCTTCAAATGGCTACAAGTGAATGTCTGTGCATACCACTACTGAACTGCATAGTCAATCAGTGAATCCATCAGGTCTTTAATTGAGAGAAAAGCTTTATGAAAAAAGTTATACCACTTCATTGAACAATTCAACAGAAGTGTCCAAATATACCATAAATGACCCCAAGTAAGTAAATGTCAGTAAAATAATCTTTTTTTAAAAAAACCTAATTCTCCTCAAGTAACATAGCCAATATAGAATTTCCCCATGTAAAATGTCCCATTTTACAAGACAGTATTTTAAACCTAAATGACAATTATTATAGGCAAAGTATTAAACATAAAAGGCAGGAGTGTGACAATTTTTAGCTCTGTCATAAAGACCTGATGTTCAGGGAAACAAACTTGAAAGAAGAAAAAAAATCCCTGCTCTATTTCTAGTCGTTCATTCAGCTTGCATGATGACATCTTAGAAGGGCCACTTTAAATAAGCTCTGCACCATGCTAAAGCATCCTGTATTCGTTACTAAACCTTGCAGGTACGACCCCATACCCACAAACGCTTCCATATGTCTAACTTTAGCCCAATCCTACAGTGAGCACAGGCACCCACGTGCAGAGCTCACTACAGGATCAGGGCCTTTCTGTACATAAGCATGGACTCTGAGAAGATTATGCACGTGTGTAAACACAGGCAAGAGTTAGCAGGATCATCACGGCCTTAGCTTTACTTACCTTGATTCTTGGTAGGACAGCCTTTATTTCCAATGCTCCTTTAACAGTCTTCTAAGCCCCAATCCCGCAAACGCTTTTACACTTAACTTGACACGCACGAACAGCTCGGTTGAGTCATAACGTTAATCACGGGTGGAAGCATTTGCGGGACTGGGGCTTAACGCTGGGGGGAGGGGGGGTTAAATTTATTTTAAGAACTCCCAAACTCGCCGTTTCTCGCATCGCGCTGCAACCTAACTCCGGAGTCACGACAAACATCACCCATCAGGAGCCCGGCGTCCCGCCAGTGCCCACAACCCCCCACCCTATTCGGGGTCTCCCTCGGATCTGACGCCGGAGGCGCCCCTCCTCTCCAGCAGCCACAGGTGTCTGGAGAAGCGCTCCGGCTAGAAGCGTCGCTTTCACCTTCCGAGCCGGGAGGCGACGCGACTCAATCCCCGCGCGGGTTTCCACTGATCCCGGGTCCGGGAGGAGCCGCCCCCACCTCCACGGCTCTGCAACAGCCGCTCCCCGCCAGCCCCTCAACCCCCACGGGGATTCCCCCTTCTCAACCCAGAGCGAGGAGCCCCCCAGCGGCGGCTCACCTCAGGCTCCCTCCCTCAGCCCCAACCTCGGGGAGCAAAGACCTCAACCCCCAGCCTCCCCTCCAGGCAGGGCACCCCCACCCCAAGGGGCCTCCTCCCCCAAAGTGACCCCCCACTCACCCTTGAGAGGCGGAGGCGGCCCCCGGCGGCGCCAGCGTGGGCGTCCCGGGCGAGGGGGGGGGGGAGGGTCGCTGGGGTTAGCTGCTTTTAACGGCCCCCCCTCTGCTTGGGAGGGAGGGAGACAAAATGGCGGACCCGGAAGTGGAAGGAGCCCCCGCTCCCCCCCGGTGCCGCGGCGGAGGGATACACTGAGTGGGGGAAGAGGCTGCTCAAAGCCTGGAGCTGCTCCCGTCACACGGCCCCGCGGGGGGGGGGGCACAAACCGTTATAGGGAGACGGGGCAGTAACAATGTGTGGGGGGAATCGCACTATCGATTCACGGCTGTATCCCTCCGCCACGGGCCCCCAGCTCCCGGGCCCTAAAATTAGCCCCCCCCCCACGGGTCCGCCCAGTGCGGCGGCAATTGCAGCGCGGGGTAACTCGAGCGATCATTAACGATCCACTGGCTTGGGGAGGGGGCAACCCCACCCCCCGCCCGCCAGGATTATTTTTTTCCGGCGGAGGTATATGACGGAGTTAATACCAGGCAGAGGAGCGAGCGGTGGGGGTGCCCTCGTTGTAGTCCCGGCCGGGCGCTCGGTGGACGCTTTAGGCGCCAAGGATGAATGTGAGGCGGCTGGTGCGTGTGGGGCGACGGGTTTGGGGCGTCCCCTGTTGGGCGCCCCCCTCTCCCATATCCACCCTGTCAGTGTCCCCAGCTCGCCCCCCCTTCCACACCCCCAGAGGTGCCCTCAGCCTAGCCCCACAAGTACCTTACCAGGTGCCCTCAGTTCTGAGGTGCCCACACCTGGGAGGTCCCTTACAAGTGCCCCTCCCATCTTAGTACCCACCCTATAGAAGCCACAAGCTCAGAAACAACCTGACCCGGTTCAGCCCTTCCTCATCCCAGGGTGTGACTTGTAAAAGGGGGTGAGTGGCATGCCTACCGTTGCCCCACACAATAATCGGGGCTGCCGCTCCCCAAATGGATTTGACTCCCAACTCCCTGAAAAAAACCAACAGTGAACAATCATACGTAGAGGCACGCAGAAAAATCCTTCAGCCTGAAACCAGAAAAGACCGAAATGATTCTTGTTGCTCTTACTCATCTATTTTAGTGGTGCCAAGAGACCCCAGTTAAGGATCAGGAACCCACTGTGCTAAGTGCCGTGCAGACAGATACCGAAGAAGACAGTTCTTGGCCCCGGGAAACAGGTTCTTGGAGGACAGCCATGATTACACCTGCCTAGGGAACCAGCTGGAGGAACTATGTTGTAGGCCCTGAAGTGATGTGGGGCTATTAGCGATCACATGGACTAGGCTTGGAGCTAGGGGACTTTGCATGGGTTGGAGCCAGAAACAGCCCATCCTAAGGTAAGTGTAAGAAAACAGAAAGGTCTTGTCTTCAGTAGGGAAAATAGTGTTTACTCAATTTAGCGAACTCGAGGTGAAGTCCTAGTGAAGCCAAAGCACAGAGTAAAAATTGTAAATGAATCAAATTGTACCATAGACTCTCTCTGGATTGAAATTCCATGCTTGAATAATAAGAGTATAGCAGTAGGAATATTCCACTGATGACCTGACTAGGATGGTGATGGTGATTGTGAAATGCTTCGGGAGATTAGAGAAGCTATAGAAATAGAACACTCAATAATAATGGGGGATTTCACAACTATGTCCGTATTGACTGGGTACATGTCACTTCAGGAGGGGATGCAGAGATGAATGCAGAGATAAATGACTGCTTCTTGGAGCAGCTAGTTCTGGAACCCACAAGGGAAGAGGCAATTCTTGTTTTAGTCCTAAATGGAGCATAGGATCTGGTTCAAGAGGTGAATATCGCTGAACCACTTGGTAATAGTGACCATAATATAATTACATTTAATATTCTTATGGGGCGAAAAACACCAAAGAAGCCCACCACAGTAGCATTTAACTTCAGAAAGGGGAACAACACAAAAATGAGGAAGCTAGTTAAATCGAAATTAAAAGGCACAGCCCCAAAAGTGAAATGCCCGCACACTGCATGGAAACTTTTTAGAAACACCATAATAGAGTTTCAAATTAAATGTATACTCAAAATAAAAAAAAACAAACGCAGAATAAAGTAAAAATAGGCAGTTTGAAGCAAAAAAAATCCTTTAAAAATTGGAAGTTAAATCCTACTGAGGAAAATAGAAAGGAGCATAAACTCTGGCAAATCAAGTGCAAAAGTGCAGGCCAAAAAAGAATTTGAAGAGCAACTAGCCAAAGACTCAAAAACTAACAGCAAAAAAACTTTTAAGTATCTCAAAAGCAGGAAGCCCTCCAAACAATCAGTAGGGCTCCTGCATAATCCAAGTGCTAAAGGAGCACTCAAGGAAGATAAGGCCATTGTAGAGAAGCTAAATTAATTCTTTGCATTGGTCTTCACTGCAGAGGATGTGAGGGAGATTCCCACACCTGAGCCATTCTTTTTTAGATGATAAATCTGAGGAACTGTCCCAAATTGAGGTGTCAGTAGAGGTGTTTTTTGGAACAAATTGATAAACAGTGAGGAGTTACCAGGACCAGATGGTATTCACCCAAGAGTTTGGAAGGAACTCAAATATGAAATTGCAAAACTACTAACTGTGTTATGTACCTATCGTTTAAATCAGCATCTGTACCACATGGCTGGAGGATAGCTAATGTGACCCCAATTTTTAAAAAAGGCTCCAGAGGCAATCCTGGCAATTACAGGCTGGTAAACCTAACTTCAGTGCCAGGAAAATTGGTAGAAACTATAGTAAAGAACAGAATTATCAGACACATAGATGAACACGATTTGTTAGGGAAGAGTCAGCATGACTTTTTAAAATAAAAATTATGCCTCACCAATCTATGAGAATTCTTTGAGGGGGGTCAACAAACGTGATCAAGGGTGATCCAGTGGATATAGTGTACTTGGACTTTCAGAAAGCCTTTGACAAGGTCCTACAGTAAAGGCTCTTAAGAAAAGTAAGCAGTCATGAGATAAGAGGGAAGGTCCTCTCATGGATCAGTAACTGGTTAAAAGATAGGAAATAAAGGGTAGGAATAAATGGTCAGTTTTCACAATGAAGAGAGGTAAATAGCAAGTCCCCCAGGGATCTGTACTGGGACCAGCTTAATATATTCATAAATGAACTAGAAAAGGAGTAAATAATGAGATGTCAAGGTTTGCAATTAATAGTAAATTACTCAAGATAGTTAAGTCCAAAGCTGACTACAAAGAGTTACAAAAGGAAAAACTGTGTGACTGGGCAAGAAAATGGCAGATGAAATTCAATATTGATAAATGCAAAGTAATGCACATTGGAAAACATAATCCCAACTATGCATACAAAATGATGGGCTCTAAAATAACTGTTACCACTCAAGAAAGAGATCTTGGAGTCATTGTGGATAGCTTTTTGAAAACATCTGCTCAGTGTGAAGTGGCAGGCAAAAATCCCAACAGAATGTTGGGAACCATTAGGGAAGGGATAGATAATAAGACAGAAAATATCATAATGCCACTTTATAAATCCATGGTACACCCATATCTTGAATATTACATGGAGTTCTGGTCGTCCCATCTCAAGAAAGATATTTTAAAATTGGAAAAGGTATAGAGAAGTGCGACAAAAATCATTAGGAGTATGGAACAGCTTCTGCATGAGTAGAGATTAAAAAGACTCGGACTTTTCAGCTAGGAAAAGAGATGAGTGAAGAGGGATGTGGTAGAGATCTATAAAATTGTGAATGATGTGGAGAAAGTGAATAAAGAAGTTTTATTTACTCCTTCACATAACACAAGAACCAAGGGTTGCTCAATGAAATTAATAGGCAGCAGGTTTAAAACAAACATAAGAAAGTACTTCACACAACACACAATCAACCTGTGCAACTTCTTACCGGGGATGTTGTGAAGGCCAAAAGTATAACTGCGTTCAAAAAAGAACTAGATAACTTCATGGAGCATAGGTCCATCAATAGCTATTAGCCAAGATGGACGGGGATGCAACCCCATGCTCTGGGAGTCCATAGCCACTGATTGCCAGAAGCTGGGAGTGGACGACAGGATGGATCACTCGACAATTGCCTGTTCTGTTCATTCCCTCTGAAGCATCTGGCGCTGGCCACTGTTGGAAGACAGGCTTCTGAGCTAGATGGACTAGTGGTCTGACCCAGTATGGATGTTCTTAATTTCCCATGAGTTAGCAGGTCAAGGTGAATACTAGGCTCCCCCATAGCTTTAACCCAAACGGCTTACGTGTCCAAAAATCATAAAACTGCCTTGTCTTCACTAGGATTGTATCTCATGTTAGGTTTCAAAGGAACAGCCGTGTTAGTCTGTATTCGCAAAAAGAAAAGGAGTACTTGTGGCACCTTAGAGACTAACCAATTTATTTGAGCATGAGCTTTCGTGAGCTACAGCTCACTTCATCAGATGTATACCGTGGAAACTGCAGCAGACTTTATATACACACAGAGAATATGAAACAATACCTCCTCCCACCCCACTGTCCTGCTGGTAATAGCTTATCTAAAGTGATCAACAGGTGGGCCATTTCCAGCACAAATCCAGGTTTTCTCACCCTCCACCCCCCCACACAAATTCACTCTCCTGCTGGTGCTAGCCCATCCAAAGTGACAACTCTTTACATAATCAAGTCGGGCTATTTCCTGCATAGATCCAGGTTTTCTCACATCCCCCCCACCCCCATACACACACAAACTCACTCTCCTGCTGGTAATAGCTCATCTAAACTGACCACTCTCCAAGTTTAAATCCAAGTTAAACCAGAACATCTTGGGGGGGGGGGGGGGGGGTAGGAAAAAACAAGAGGAAACAGGCTACCTTGCATAATGACTTAGCCACTCCCAGTCTCTATTTAAGCCTAAATTAATAGTATCCAATTTGCAAATGAATTCCAATTCAGCAGTTTCTCGCTGGAGTCTGGATTTGAAGTTTTTTTGTTTTAAGATAGCGACCTTCATGTCTGTGATTGCGTGACCAGAGAGATTGAAGTGTTCTCCGACTGGTTTATGAATGTTATAATTCTTGACATCTGATTTGTGTCCATTTATTCTTTTACGTAGAGACTGTCCAGTTTGACCAATGTACATGGCAGAGGGGCATTGCTGGCACATGATGGCATATATCACATTGGTGGATGTG